ACGATCTAAATGATTTCTCCGATTCTATCAGGGTCATTTGGTGAAGAATGAGGTGCGCTGGGCGAAGGAAATGAGGGAAATGCGGTGGCCAGAGACTAAGAAGATGGCGTGAGGCTGCGCCCCCTCAGCTCATGGCCGACCGAGCCTTGGGTTTGCTGTGCCGTTGATCCTGACTGTCCTTGGGGGATTGTGCGACATGGACCGGTTATGGCGGGGCGTCTGGGCAAACACGCTAAGTCGGGGTTTATTGGACAGTTGTGGCACCAGGATGACTACGAGTCTGATTGATGCACCGTTCCAGTTCCAGTCCACTCGCGCAATGAGCCAGATTGAGGTGCCCCCTTGGAACTAGCGTCGCCCGATTGCTGTGTAACCAGCGCGGGGACCCCCTTTTCGCTTCCAGCATTCCGGAGACAGGTGACCGGTTTTTGAGGCCCACCCCTGACTCCGCCTCCGGTTCGGTCCCCGGATGCGGGCTTCGGTACCGATTGGGTCGGGTTGCGTTGTTAGACGCGAGAGCCCGAGAATGTTGATCTGGGGTATTAGCTGAGTGATTTGTCGTGAGTGATGCTGTCTAGCCTGAGGGATTTCTCTGCGGGATCAGAAGTGCAGATGCTTTGGCATGATATCGGTAAGTATGAGTTTGATTGGGATTGTTCAGCTGAGGCGTTCCTCGGTGAGCGGATTGGAACTCGAGGATCCTTGAATGCGACTCTGGTTGCCGACGGAATATTCCTACGGGGCAAAATCTTATCTGATGGAACCTGTGCATACTACAGAACCCTGATTTTGAGGCTGAGATGCTCATCTACATGAAAGCAGCGGTTCATCAGCGCAGCTGGCCTCAATAGCTGGAGAGTGCACATCAAGGTGCCCTGGATAATAAGTGTGAGTCGGGCGGAATGATCGCCGTCTTATCCCCCACAGACCCACATTCCAAGCCACTAGGCAGCCGTTTAGGAAGGCTTCTGGAAGGCGAAGGGAGCTTGGGCCAGCATCATATGACTTACTTTAGGCGCCACTGATGACATGAAGTAGTTTTTGTGATGATGATTACCGCGGACTTGCGAGAGTTTCTGAAGATAATTCACAAATTCGGAGGTGGCCGAACACTTGGTTATGTCGGAGAAGATTACGTGACCTCAATAGAGCGAAGAAGAGGGGTTATCTGGCATAGTCTATCCATCTTGATACCTTGGGCGCATTCCAAGTGGCATACATACCAAGGCCATTTCAGCCCTTCCTGGGCTCCGCCACACACCCGCTTGGATAGCTCCTACGCGCCGTTTGCTGCTTTCCCCTCTACGGCATGGCCCTTGGTAGTGTTACACGAGGCTCAACGATTGGCTTTCGGCCCTGCAAGAATGCCTTGCGATCTGCCGTCGTGCCTATGACTCCTAAACGTTGACATATCAGAAACGCGAACAGACCGAGCATACATAAAAAGGAGGAGGGCCATCTACAATGTTTGCTCTTTCGTGTCACACAAGTGTAACATTATTCTCAGATACCCCAACATACCCTCCTTCGTTATTCAGGGTTGTAAATTACTCCGTGTAAGAACCAACGCCACCGACACCTCATCGGTTCATCCAAAGCATAAGTAAACCTTCTCGTCAACCCGCCACCCTTACTCTTCGGGTTCTCCGATAGACCTCAACGACAACTACCTATATAACATCAGTTGCACCCCCAATCTTCTCCCTTTAATCTCAGCCAGCAAAGCAATTACTTAATCATTCCTCATCTTTCATACCCCATCCTCATCCATCAAAACACAAACAAACACCGCCAAGATGTCGTACAGAATCGCTGCCCCCGATGAGTACTTGGCCATCACGGGTATGTCCGTGAAGACGGTCAAGATCACAAAGGCAACATGGGTTTGGCCCTTTCAGCGCTGCATGCGCTTCTCCGTCCAGCCCCACGATTACGCCATGAGCCTGCAGGCCATGACCAAGGAGAAGCTGCAATTCCTGCTGCCCGTCGTCTTCACCGTCGGCCCGGACGTCAACTCCCGCGGCGCAAACGCTCAGCACCTCTACCACGGCAGCAACAGCAATAACAATGACAGCTCCGTCCACAGCAACGACCACGACTCCATCCCCGCCAACACCCGCGAGGACCGCGGCGACGCCCTCATGAAGTATGCCATGCTCCTCGCCGAGGCCGCCGACAAGAAGGGCGGCTCCATGCTGCACCTCGAGAACATCGTCAAGGGCGTCATCGAGGGCGAGGTGCGCGTGCTCGTCTCCAGCATGACCATGGAGGAGATCTTCACCGAGCGCGAGGTCTTCAAGCGCCGCATCTTCAAGAACATCCAGTCCGAGCTCTCCCAGTTCGGCCTCGTCATCTACAACGCCAACGTCAAGGAGCTCAAGGACGCGCCCAACAGCATCTACTTCGAGTCGCTCTCGCGCAAGGCCCACGAGGGCGCGACCAACCAGGCCCGCATCGACGTCGCCGAGGCGCAGCTGCGCGGAAACGTCGGCGAGGCCCAGCGCAAGGGCGAGCAGGACCGCGAGATCGCAAAGATCAACGCCGAGACCGCCGTGCAGAAGACGGAGCGCGACATTGAGCGCGCCACCGCCGAGGCGAACCTCGACACGCGCCAGGCGTCGCTGACGCGCGACGTCGACATTGCCCGCGTGCAGGCGCAGCGCGCGCTCGAGAGCAAGGACGAGGACCTGAAGAAGGAGGTCGAGGTGAAGCGCGCGGCGGCGGAGATCGAGCGCCTGCGCGCGCGGGACGTCGTCAAGGCGACGATTGAGCGCGAGGCGCGGCAGCAGCAGACGGATGCGGAGGCGTACGCCGTCGAGGCGGACGCGCGGGCGCGCGCGGAGAAGAACAAGCGCGAGGCGGAGGCTGGCGCGTACGGGATCGAGGCGGATGCGAAGGCGCGGTTCGAGAAGAACAAGCTCGACGCCGAGGCGGCGCAGTACGCGACGCAGCTGGCGGCCGACGCGGATCTCGCGGTGTCGCTCAAGAAGGCCGAGGGTCTGTCCGCGATGGCGGACGCGTACGGCAAGATGGCGCAGGCCTTCGGCGGCCCGGCGGGTCTGATGCAGTACCTGATGATCGAGAAGGGCACCTACGTCGAGCTGGCGAAGGCGAACGCCTCGGCCATTCGCGGTCTGGAGCCCAAGATCAGCGTGTGGAACACGGGATCTCAGTCAGGCGAGGGTGGCGGCAACTCTGGGGTCGACACGATGAGGAACATTTACCAGATGCTGCCGCCTTTGATGACGACCATCAACGAGCAGACTGGTATTACCCTGCCCGAGTGGCAGTTTGGTAAGCTCAACGCTGGCATGAACGCTATGCAGGCTGAGCAGCAGGGCAAGAAGGTCAACGGCGGTCGCTGAGAGACTATGACGGACAACACTCGTTTGTGGAATTGGGGATATCGGCGTTGATGGCTTAGTTTGAGATACCAGGGCGGTCACTGTCGATTATAGATTTCATTTGTCTTCAATGTATTATCAAGATTAGTATCATGATGGAATTAATCAGAGAGTCTAGTTTTCAAGGTTATCTATCACATAAACAATTACCCTTTACACCACACTCTACTGCTTGATCAGGGTTCCTCTCAAACTTGGATCATCGTACTGTTTTGAATACCTATCCTATACCTCTCTCTGTCCCTATCGTTGCTATAGCCATTGTTGTCGTTGTAGTCGTCGTCGTCCCTCCGCCCGGTTAGCTAGAAGCATTCGCCCTGATGGCAAACCTCGCGTATCACACTATCCCGTTGAAGTCGCAGCACGTCTGTAAGGCACCGCCAGAGGGATGGAACAAATCGACGGGCCGCAATCTTTACTGACCTCAAAAACGTGAAGTCATATACATTTCGAGGTGAGACTTCAATCTGAAATTCCTCTGTTAAAGACTTACCGCTCTTCCCCTCTGATCAAATTCTCCATTCGCCACTTCAGTCTTGTCACCGGAAACGCAAAGTCAGCCCAATAACCCAAGGTTGGCATGGAAATATAATGCCCCATCGCGACCATCGGCCCACGGCCATTCCTCTTCTCCGTTGTCCCCGATTTGGGTGCATCGGGAGAAAGTTGCCCCCCGGCTCCTCACTGTCAACTATTGCCAAAGCCGACGCCACATGGGGGTACTACACAGAACGCTGGTACTGGCAACTGTTTGTGCAGTAGCATATATTAAATGTCGACGCGAGTCTGTCAACACGTGCGTAGTGTAACAATCCTTTCCCCTGTTTCATCTCCTTATGACCGCCATTCATAATCGATACCAGAAAAACAACCTTCAAGTCGTCTGCCTTTATCCACTTCGGTAACTCTTTGATAGAGGTTGAGGGGGGTAAGATGGCAGGCAGTACTGACTCGTTCCTTCCATTGACATGACAAGATCTATATATCCATGGGACGCCAATTCCCGGTGGGATGGATTTAGACCCATTGAAGCAGGCGATTTGTCCCCCTTTGACCAGAGTCAATGCATGTAGCAGTGAAAGACCTGCAAAACAATACAAGCCGCTGTGGATGCCAAGGCCATCGTCTCTGGCAAAACTACATGTACTGGACCGAGGACCTTCCACGCCTGCCAACGCCGCCATCCCCATACCGCCCACATCATCAATAGTGCCTTCACTTCCCGCGCTTGCCATACTCTTTCCTCTCTGCGTTATCTCATACAATCGCCGAAGGGTAGTCCAAGCGTTGGCTATTGTTCACAATCGACCCAGCCACGGAAGAGAATCTTTTGGTGCTTTGGTAACCCGAGCCTCCCGTGAAGAGAATGGATCTCGCCCCCCTATGTGAAACTGGGAGATGAGGCTCATTATTTAGACTTTCTTCGTATTCTTGACGAGATTCGGACTTCTATTCACCTCCCGAGTTCGGCGCTGTCTAACCAACTGAACTCAACTGTATTTTAACTGACGTTCATTCCCAGTTGGTTAACACACTTAGCTGAATATCTTGCCCGACCAAAACACATTCACACGACACAACATTCACTTCATAACCATGCAATTCCTCAACGCAATCCTCGTTTTGGCTTCACTCGCAGCTTCCGCGACTGTTGCCTCTGCCGATGCAGCTGCCCCTATCGAGGCGAGACAGGCTGCAAGCCCCTGCTATTCTAACCAGAAATTGACTTGGAACACGGGCCAGTATGGCAGCAGTGGGGGATGGGGTGTAAGTTAGCCCTCGTAAATTCCTACAGTGATGATACTGACTTCGATGTGAATTCAGTGCGTCACCAACACCAATGGCGGCTGCAAGTCCTACTACTGGAAGACAGAGCTTCCTTACTACAGCGTAAGCACGATAGTTGTCTGATCTTGGGGTTTAATACTTGCTGACTTGGTGTTGATTTTTAGTGCACTTAAACTGTCTGCTCTGTAAATTAGCAGCGTGTTCGGATCGCAACCTTTCTCTTATCTAGCCTTTCTTCGCACATATTCGCCTTCCCTCACAGACCTTTGGCGATAGAATACTAGCTGCGGGGGATTGCATTCGTGTTGATTCAAGTTTCTTACTTAGCGTGGATGGGGCTTCACTATTATTATAGAGGTGCACCTTTCTCATGCGGCCACGATATTCAAACACATTTGATTTGGCACAGATCCACTAGCAGCCAGTTTATTGTACAAACAACCTTCTTCTAGTAGCGAATGATTCTGTATCACATCTGTCGTAGTTGTATTGAAGCTTTAAACCGAAGAAAACAGTCAAAAGTCTTCAGATTTTACGGGGCCAAACTTCGCAAAATCCACAATCTCACCCTTCTTGGCTTTCACTCCTTCCAATCTACCATCAGCCACCCTCAACCGAATGTGAATACTCTTACAAAGTCCAAAGGCTTTTTCATTGGGGCCGAGAAAGTCTTTTGAGAACTTCCATTTGCGGCCACTGAAAATCTTGGGCAGTAAAGCATTATATAACGACTGGGACATGACGTCGTGATTCTCGCAGTATGCTCCCGTGATGTCCGTATCAAATCGAAGGGCCTGAGACTCCGGTGACCATCTCGCTTTCAAAAGACCTCGGTGGCGATAGAGAACGGCCGCAGATTTGCCTTTTCGGTTGTCCATGACACTCCCCAAGCTCTCGTCAGAAACATGGAAAGGTTTACCATGTTCAATTGCCTTTTGGACAGTATCTAGCACCGTGTGGTTTGTAATCCTTTTGCCACCGTAAACGACGACTGTGTTGTTGATCCCCTTGACATCATTGTACCTTTGAAGGCCGTTGGCGAGGGAGACAGTGAGAAGGTCTGTTGTCTCGATCTTGTCCATATCGATTCGGTTGACACTGCGTTCAAGGCGCTGCAAGACCCATGGGAAACGTTTCTTTTGCGTCTGTTCGGCTTTTTCAAGTTCGCTGGATCCCGAGAGATAGGAGCTGCTCATTGAGTTCAATGATAGAGAGGAAGCTAGGTCATCCTCATCCGGGCCTCTGGTTAGCCGAGTAAATTGATCCGGGTCCTTAGTAACGAGGCGCTCATGAGGCCAGAAACCCCTCTTGTAAATGTGAGGAGAGTTCCTGTATCCCTCGATGAGTCCAATTACAGCGGGTTTGCCATTTCCAATGAAGTACTTCAGAGGGAGATCGTGGAGGTATTTATGCTTCGAGGCCCCAGGACTTTCAACGGTGTACAGATTTTCCAGCCGGTTTAGAAGCCCAAAGAAATCCTCCCACTCGCGTTGCGTGGGCTCTCTCTCGGTAGACTTGCCTCCCAACGGGTCGCTGGGCGTTGCTGGGGATATGTGGATTCTCTGAGTCCGCTTAATATGGATGACGACTAGTTCCGGATTCTTTCTGGTGAACGTGTTGATGTCATCAACCACTTTCTGGATGGGAACGCAACTTGCACCCTGGACCCCAACAGCGTCGCCGACGTTGGTGTAGTGCCCGCAGTGCCAGGAAGGAGCATCTTGGGTGCCGCTCTTGGAGGTAAGGACCGGACGAATGTCGAGATAACGTACGCCGAGATTGAGTTGGTCAAGGATTGATCGCGTCTGGGTCAACACCATGTCGTCCAGTCCTAGCTCCGTACGCAAGTTGTTGTGAACATAGCTCGTGCCGGCGTCGTGGGAAGAAGGAAGAGTGATATGCTTGAGAGGGAGGTTTCCAATTGTGGCGCTGTGGAGTTGCATCCACCGTTGAGAATGCTCAGCCATCATCAGGAGCGGCCGTCGGACACAACGATGAGGAGATTGACCTAGGAGGATTGGAATCTATGCAGTAGCGCACACATTCCTTTACAATTATATCTTGTCCTCGTTGAGACCTTGATGGCGTGTCAGACGCCTGTAGGCGACAAACTTTGAATGCTTGTTCCCGGATGGTTCATGATCTTCCTGCGAGTGTTCAATATTTGAGAACGCCACACGAGAGCAAATCCAGCGATCTTCGTGCTAGGTATTTCTGTTCCACCACGGACCGACGCGAGAGCGAAATATTGCACTTAAAGGGTCATCATGTTATTCACTCTACGAACCAAGAGCGACAACGATCTTCTGAGAAGACACGCCCTGTTCTAAAAGATCAATTCCACTCTGGATCGCCTCTAATCCTGAATCAACCACGTTCGCTTGCGGCACAGCTTTGAATCTTCCGCCCTTCAGAGCCTTCGGCACGAAGTCGACAAATATTGTCTTGCACAAGTCAGAGTCGACAATGTCTGTTGCCAAGAAGGGCTTCATATCCACGCCATGCGGCGCCGTTGAAGGCGGCGCTCTGACGCAAGCCACGCAGATGGACACAAGTTCAGACGCGCCCAATACAATGCGTGCGCAGCTGCACATGGCAGCTTCCGTCCCACTAGCCTCGTAAACCCCAGCAAGTGTCTTTCCCTTGAGAGAGACGACAATGTCTTCTTCGGTTGAGGACGATTTGTAGTCAAACACCTTTGTTGCTCCGAGATTCTTGATATTCTCGTGATTCTTTGGAGAAGCTGTTGAAAAGACTTCATAGCCTGCCATCTTTGCAAGTTGGATCGCAACGCCCCCAACACTCGTCGCCCCTCCCCATACAAGAACCACTTGCCCCATGTGATGGGGTTCGACAGAGGGCAGCTGTAGGCCGAGCTCCGCCTTTCCGAAAAGCCCAAGGGCTGCCGTTGCGATGGCCAGGGGGAGCACAGCTGCCTGTTCAAAAGATAACTCTTCTGGAATCGAAGATACGCAATCCGAAGGGATCAAAGCATAAGCTTGAAAGGCGCTGTTCGCATTATCATCTGTGCGGAGGGAGGTTGCAAGTCCCAGTACCCGATCTCCAGGTTTGACGTGGGTAATATTTGAGCCCACCTCCTCAACCACTCCGGCCAGATCCATTCCGAGTATGGCCGGGTACGTCCTGGGGAATAAAGCGTTCTTCTGGATGGCGCCGTCAACGGGGTTGATCGCGACAGCCATGGTTCTGATCAGGACATCGTCAGCTGTTGGATGACGCAGCGCAGCCTCCCCTGTACGAAGGTAGCTGCTACGTTCTTCTATTGCCCAGGCTGCAATATTTGAAGGCATTGTGGTTCAATTTGTTGTGATCCGAACCCGTGAAATGGTGGAAACATGTGCAGAGATATAGCTACATATCATGTTAAAAAGGCGAGGCGATCAAAACCTTGGCCAACAAGGTCCCAATCATGATTTGCGCCGACGTCATAAATACACACTGCCCTCTTGTTCAAACTCCCAATTTGCTGCCAAGGACACATCTCCAAAAGCTGGGATGGAGACGGTCGGTGTGGGTAGTGAAACATGGAACCAACGCCGATCATGATGTCAAGCGCCCTGTCCAAATAAGAAAGCAGAGGAAACGCATTAGCCATTCAATCAACATACCAGAGCCCTGTTTGGTGCATGTAGATTTTTATCAATAGCTGATGAAACACATGTGAGCCAGCAGGTCCTCGCTTGCCCACTACTCCGGCCTTGGGTGTGCAGGATTCACGCGGTTTCGACTCGCTCGTCGACCAAAACCTCGTCAAGTCCGGGTGCCGTCTCTCGCAAGAGCGCCTTGATACTGCCCGCAACATCTACAAAGTCCGAGCTGTCAAGCTGCTCCAGGCTCGGGCCCGCTGTCGCGTCGTCCGTGAAGGTGATGCGCCGTTGCGCCCAAAGGAAGGCGTGCTGCCCGACACGAACAGCTATTCTCGAGTCACCCGAACAACCCCGACTCAGGTATTGTGATCGTCCCTTTCTATTCTTCTGCGTTGACCCCCGGCTCCTGTGCTATCGCTGTCCACTAGATTGAAGGCTAGTCGCCAACGCGAGGATATGAATGTGTGTTCGCAAGGTGCGGCCCGTTTGAGTCTCCGATACAGTCGCCCCTTCAGCAGATAATCAGTCTGCCAAATTGTATTTTGGTAACTCTGGGAGTTGGAATCGCTGCTGTTCTGGCAGGCTCCTCGCTCGGTGTTCGGCGTTGGCTATGGACAGCTCAGCTTCGACGGCAACGCGGTCACCTGAGCAGCCCAGGACGTCAAGTGCGCGGGACCAATAATACCGTACATGACGGACTCTCCGCAATTCGTCAGTCGGAAGGAGGCATTGGTACCCACCAAGAGCTACAGGTAGTCTCCTTTCTTCGGCATCGGGCTTGCAAGTTCAGCATTGCTATGCGAACCTTCAAGTCTGTTTGATCAGGTTGTAGATTGCGAGCTCGCGTGAAGGCTAAGAAGATGAGAAAGAGAGAAATATTAGAGACGTCCAAAGTGTTGCAGCTGAGGCGAGGCGCATCAAGAGACGGATTGAGTTGCAAGAACAGACTAGCTGATCACAGGCGATGTTTCTCCTGCTTTAAAAGAAGTGTAGAGACTGAGGACCTCTGAAAGTTCCATGGTCACGGGTATCGCTTCAGGGCGATCGAAGACCAGAGACATAACGCTAAAAAGCAACAGACAAGAGAAAGAATTCTCGTCAGAGACGGTTCAATGATGCCGGGGGGGCAGCCGTATATCGGGTTTTTGCGACAGCTCATCGTAGTACGCGGCGCATTAGCTGCCGGCAGTAATGCACTTCCCGTTTCCCCGTGTACAAGAGAGGTTCCCAGCGGACTTCAATGATCTACCCGTGCCGCTACATTGCATTAACCTTTCCAAACCATAGGCGACGATCCCTGAGACGAATTACGACCTGTGCATGCCAATCAAGCGGTGAGGGGCCTTGCTATCTGTACGGGGCCACACGACGACAGCAGTGAGACGGGTGCGGGAGCTAGTTGCATTGCATATGTTTTGATCTTCGAGCGGAGTAATAGCGACCATCTGATTGGGTGAACATGTCAACATGGGATGGCTGCTGCCATCTTGTGTTGCAGGACTCGGGATGAAAATGAATTAGGAAGTGAGCATCCCGAGGGCCGGGGCTTTCGTCCGGCCCGAGCCCCGATAGAATCGGGCGTCGGATTGGTTCCCCACCGATTACTCACGATTTCTCAACGGCAATCGACCCCTGATAGATGGTCTTGGAGTAAATGCGGCTGATACAACTTTATTTTGTGGTCGTTGACAATGAGTACATAGAGCAGCCATCACCGTTTAAATATTTCGTCCCAATCCGCTGTGCTAAGCTGTGTGTCTTGCTCAGAGGACTTCTCAGTGTCAGCGGCAAGATCAAAGTAAATCACGATGAAGTTCATTGTAGGCGGTGTCATTCCGTCTTCGCTGGGGTTTGGTTCCCTTGCAGCCATCCTCGTAAGTTCATTTGCCCCAACTTCACAGACCTTGCACTCACAATCTGGCACCCAAGCTTCTGGTGTATGGCGCGTCGGTAGTCGTATACAACCTCTTCTTCCACCCATTGCGTCGGTTCCCTGGCCCAAAGTTGTGGGCTGCCACGCCCCTCCCTGCGGCGCTCAGTGTTCTCCGCGGGCTCTCTCACGTTAAGATTCTTGAACTCCATAAGCGCTATGGCGATATTGTCCGAGTAGGGCCCAACGAACTAGCATTTGCACACTCAGATGTGTGGAAGGATGTCTGTGGACATTTGAAGCGCGATCAGGAGGAAAATGGCAAGGATCCCAAGTACGGCAATGAAGACCTGGACAAAAGTCTGATCTCAGCTTCACGCGAACGACACGGGCCGTTGCGACGTTTGCTATCCCACGGATTCTCGGCTCGTGCCATGGCCGAGCAGCAACCACTCATCAACACCTATATCGATCTTTCATGGAACGCCTCCGTGAGCACGGAGAGAATGGGTCGCGGCCTATCGATGCATCGAAATGGTTCGAATGGACAACATTTGATATCATTGGAGACTTGGCGTTTGGCGAATCTTTCGGCTGTCTGCGCACTTCTGCGTCTCATCCATGGGTTGAAAGCTTCTTCGACTCGATGAAAATCATCCCCGCTATCCAGGCAATCAGCGACTTGCCCTTCTTTTCGATCCTGGCACCTCTGTACTTCATGCTTTTTATCCCGAAGAACGTCGCTACCCAACGCCGAACGAGTCAGCAATTTGCCGAGGAAAGCTTGAAAAAGAGGCTTAGTCTGGGTACTGACCGGCCCGACTTCGTACAAGCGATGCTTAAAGGCGGCAAAGAGCATGTCAGTAATTACCATGGACTGGAACGTAATTCTCTCCCACTGACCCCATCAACGCAGACCTTGACGCCGATTGAATTGCGAGACAACAGCGTTCTTCTCACTACGGCCGGTTCTGAAACCACAGCCACAACACTCGCTGCAACGACCTACTTCCTTGCCACTCATCCTGAAGCACTTCAAAAGTTGAATGATGAGGTCCGGTCGGCTTTCAAGAGCGAAGATGAGATCGACGTGAATAGTGTCCAGAACCTGCCCTACATGCTCGCTGTTCTGAAGGAAGCTATGCGCGTCCATCCAGCTGTAGCCATTTCCCTGCCACGATCGACTCCTCGCAGTGGAGCGCAGGTCGCAGGAGAACATATCCCCGGAGGCGTGAGTTTTGTGCAGCTGATTTGCAATCTGATGCGGGTCATTTACTAACAAGTCGTAGACGACTTTGGGTATCTGGCAATACGCCCTCTATCACGACCCGACCAAGTTTCTTTACCCCGACTCCTTCATTCCTGAGCGATGGTTGGACGACAAACGCTTTGAAAATGACGCTAAACACATGCACCAACCTTTTTCATACGGTCCTCGAATTTGTCTGGGCATGAAGTAAGTGTTGCTAAAACAGCCAGTTAGCCTGCTGGCTACCTTGATCCATGCTTCGGTTTGCTGACTCTCTTCTTCTTTCTTTAGTCTTGCTTACGCTGAGATGCGGTTGATTCTTGCTCGCATTATTTGGAATTTTGACCTGGAGCTCGAGACTCAAAGCCGGGAATGGGCGGCGAATCAGAAGGTGTTCTTCTTTTGGGACAAGCCACCTTTGTGGACATACTTCAAGCCCAGACGGTCTTAGAATGCAACTAATGCCCAGGTTGTCGAACGTTAGAAGGATGTTGTATAGTACCTTATCTAACATAGAATGTTTGACCTGTATCGCTAGCTACGTAGTCGGCTGGGTTCGGACTGACATAGAAGCACACGTGAATAGATGCTTCCTGAAATGAAGCCTGGGAAATCTGATAGAAGACGCAAAGTCATTTTACGATCGTCGGCTGTCTTCGGGAACATGTCATACTGTCCGATTACAGCTCACGTCAGTGGTGGTAGTCGAGAGTCGGCGCAATGTTTACTCGAGAGCACATACATGTCTTAGGTTAAATGAAATCGACAATTCCCAGCACTTGTGGTCCAAGCCCACTCTTCGAAGTCCTATGGTTTTCGAAGGCCAGAAGATCATCAGGTGTTGCAATGAATTAAACACCGTAAACTTCCTGAATGTTGCCGCCGCAACACGACGTCGCTCACTGAGGGATATGTTTTTGTTTTTGTCTCATTGCTGCCTCTGTCACCGAGGGTGTCCTCATCAGCACAACCAATGGATAGTTTCGAGGATACGCTGAAACTTGTTTCAGTACACAGGATATCAAATCGCGCATACGAAGGAATGATAGGTGGTCTTTCATATAATCCCTAAAAAATTGCTTTCTGATAGTCCTGCAAAATCGGATTATGATGGTATGTATTAATCTAGTTGCCGGACAGGTAAGCGCGTACCTGTATGCACGAGTGCAGGTGGGTTCCTATTCTATTACTGCCGACAGTTCTGTCAAGATGTCTCTCGGGAATTCCTTCACAGTATGGCTGGGTTGTTCATCATTTCAATAACTCCAGCACCCGTCGAATTGGCGTCTCCAACCCGTCCTCCAGTGGTGAGCCCGATCCATCGTGAGTACACTCTCTCACCAGGAGTTGTCGAAGTGAGTTTCTCCATAGAAAATTCGTATTTACCATCAAGCTGACTGTCGATTTCAATCTCCCAGCTTTCCACGGCTGATCCGGGTTCCAGTGGGACTGCAGTCCCAGGTCCCTGGGGACTAACTTTGACAGCCGAACAGGCAGAAATGACTGGCTTTCCATCTTCAGCGAGATAAACGCTGGATGTCACATTCAACGACTCATCAAGATGATAGAAGAATACCAATGAGTATCTGCCGACGTTCGAATGGCCCCAGTACCATTGGTGCAGGTTATTCTGGAAACCTGCTGTGCCCCAGTTCTGTATAGTCATGTTGTCAGAGCAATCCTCTCAACAAGGGGACTTGGAAAATTACCTGATAATGATATCCAGAGCCAGAGAAAGAGAGATCAGTTCCGTTGATGGTTAAGTTGACGGTGGCGTCTGAATCTGGGATGGTGTTGGCCCAGGAGAGATATGGGGCGAAGTTGAAGGAACCTCCAGGAGTGTTGAGCCCACATGCGACGTGAGCGGGAGCACGGGAGCGCATGGTGATCTTTCCCGATATACCAAGTTGTGGCAGGTCTAGCGTGAGATGATAGACTCCCAGGTCAGAAGATCCAAACCAAGTCATCGCTCCATCATCCACAACGCCTTGCGACCCATCACCGACAGTGCTCAGCTGAAGGTCTCCAACAGGAATGGGGGTGAAAGGAAATAAAGTTCCGTTAGGCCAAAGAATCTGGAGTAGGACTGCGCTCGACTCGGGAAACCACCCCGGATAGAACTGCGCGACGAGGAGGGCATCTGCGTTATGAGACACGGCGTCAAAATACCACCACTGGTAAGCCGACCCATTGTTGACCGCGATGTGAGGTCCATCAAATGCTGAAAGGCCAATAATGCTGTCTGCTGCTGTAGTACCATTGAACTGCCCCGTAGGTATTACATATGTTTGAGGCTGTATGGAGGCAAGGGCCAGTCCGCTCAGCATCGAAAGACACAGTGCACTGGTTTTCATATTGGTAGAAATCTGAAATCCGGGTAGAAAAGATTCAAGTTGAAACTGAAAGACGTTGGCGAAAGACGTTGATCGTGCTTTTGTCGAATGTGTTTAGCCTTGGATGGAACAGACTCAGCTGATGGAGATTTCACCGATTGCAAGCAAGTATTGGAATGTCTATGGGCTTTTATATGCTCGATATAGCTGAAGTTCGGGTTCTCAAATCGGGCAAAGCCCACATGCGGACGAGCACGAACATCCGCAAAGCCGCTCGTTGACATGATATTACGAACGACGTCGTCTGCGACCTCTCAGCTCATTGGAGACACCCATGGTTGTATTATGGAGCTTGGGAAATCGATGTGGCTGAGTCTAAATCATGCTAGCTTATAGTATGGATATGTGGCGGCACCTGCCCACAGGTGCCACAGGTGGCCTGTGCGGCCTAGGGGCCCTCTAGGCCCTTCTTCTAGCCTCTAGCCTAGTAGACAGCCTACTTAGCTAGATTCATATATATTATATTATTACCACTTATTTACGCCTATGCCTCTATAAGTTATAAGCTTAGTACTTAGATCGCTAGTATCTATAGCCTCAAATTAAGTGTTTTTCTACCCTTATAATATTCTTTTCGTTTTTATAGTTATCTATATATTTATATAATCTAATTTAGCTAGTAAATAGTAATATAGCCTCTAATTACTCTTAACGTATTAAACTACTACTACTTATATAAAAATTCACCTCACTAAGTAATATATTAGATAGTAATACTACTTTATTCTCTATAACTCTCTTTAATATATTAATTAATAATATTTTCCCTCTTAAGCTATCTTATTACTCTACTTATATCCCTCTAAATAACTAGTAATATAAATAAAAATATTAAGACCTTCTTATCTAGTATTCCTTAGCTAAAAAGTGAATCTAACTAATAATCCTAGCTAGTTTTTATTAACGCTACTTTATAATTAAACTATATTAAGAAGTATATTAATAAAGATATCCTTAAGCTTAATAGTAATACTACTATTAAGGAGAAATAAACTAAAGAGTGAGATACTACCTTTATACTACTTATTAGCTTATATAATACTCTTATTAATAAATTACTTAATATAAAATAGAAGGATAATAATAATCCTTTTATGCTTATATAAGCGCTTAAGAAGTATATTCCTAAGGTTTCTAAGGATACTATTAGCGCTCTTATTAATAAGTTTACTAAAAGCTTTACTTAGAACTATAAAACTTTTTATAATACCCTTAAGTATATTTAGTACTTTTAGACTTATATTACTAACCTTATAGGTAACTTATCTAACTATCTATAGGCTATATTACTCTTAAACTACTTTAAGACCTACCTACTAAACACCTATAAGTATTATACTAATAATAATAAGAAACCTATATAGACTAATATTATTAAGACTATTTATACTCTTACTTAAGATAAAGAATAGAAGATAGGTCTATTACTCTATAAGGATAGATCCTAGCCCTAGTTATTAAACTTATATACCTCTTATATTAATAATAATAGTAATAATATATTAAACAATAAAAATAAGGCTTCCTATATTTACTATAATATAAACTACTTATTTAAGAAGTATTAGATAGCTTATCTAGAGCTAATCCTATTAACCTATAAGAACTAAGTAAGCTTTCTTAAGAAGGCTAATAAGTATAAGTATAATAAGGACTATTAAGGAGATAGTATTAATATTATATTAACTACTTTTATCTTTATAAAGAGCTTATTTAGTATTCTTAGTAGCTTAGCCCTTATTAGTATTACTATATAAGATTACTATATTACTAGCCCTCTAATTTATATTATTATTAATAGCTATATAATCTATTATAATAATATTATTATTAACTCTAAATACTCTAGTTATCTCTTCTATAATATAGAGCACTTTATAAAGTATACTCCTTATAATAACCTACTTCTCTTTATAGCTACTAATAGAGATAATATCTATCTCCTTAATATTAATATTATATTCTTTTAGACTTATAATCCTCTTAACCTATCTAAGATAATTAACTAAACTATTAATAATATTAAGTATAGCTTATTAAGTCTTACTAACTTACTTAGCTTTAGTAAACTTCATAAAGCTAGTATTAACTATAACTATAAGTTTAATAGCTTTATATATATAAATAATGCTCACCTTATTAGTAAGGTTAAATAGATTATAGATATTATAGTTCTCTAGACCTATATAACTGCTAATATACTTATTAATACTATTATTACTCTTATTAGTATTTATTATAACCTTAAGCTAACTCTTAAGATAATATACTATTACTTAATTTATACCTATCTATCTAGAGTTATTAAAGCTTACTATTATATAGGTATTATATTTACTAAGGAAGAGATAGAGAACTTTCACTATAAGGTATACTATCTAGCTAAGTTAATAGAAATTATTAGCTATAATTCTCCCTTACCTCTTACTTAGATTAGAGAAGAGATATATCTTAATCTTATTAAAGTTAAGCCTCTATTAATAACTAATAAGCGTTATACCCTATATTTTCTTAATAAGTATAGTAGATATTACTAGCTTATTCTTATGCTTAACTATTACTATAAAGTTATATATAATACTATTAAGAATTTCTATAATATATTTAATAATATAACTAGCTTTAACGTTAAGACCTAGGTTTATAATAATACTCTAGAGTTTAAGAAGGTTTTTTATAATCTATACTTTACTAATACTTATATTAAATATATTATTACTAATATACTTTTTATAAATAGCTCTATTAAGTATACTAGAAGAACTATTATTAAAGCAGCTTATATATAGTTAATTAATACTAACTTACTTAAAGAGCTTTAGGATTACTTACTTAATTTAACTATTTAAATACTTAACTTTCTTCCTTAAGATACTAAGGGTAAGATAAGCCTTTATAAGATTATAGTATAAGAACTTAACCTTACTGCTAATTATAAACTACCTTATATTAAGTATCTTTATACCTTTAGCTATACTACTTATATCTATAAGAAAGGTGTTAACTACTCTCCTTATTCTAAAAAGATAGAGGCTTATGCTATAAAGAGATATCTTATTAAATATATATCTCTCTATAGCTATATCTACTATATCTATATCTTAGAGAAAAAGAAGGTTATTTATTACTATAATATTTACTTTTATAAAAGTCTAATAAATATAGTTTTTTAACCTATATATAATATGCTAATTACTAATAATATAGAGTATAATATGCTGTTTAATAAGCTAGATCTCTAGATCTAGCGTAGTATAACTATAAGTACTTCTAACCCTCTTAAGAAATCTCTAGAGATCTCTACTATAATACTAATATTTTTAAGCGCTAGTAATAACGCCCTTAATATAGCTATAGAAGGATTAGACCTAATAATACTACCTCTAGATGAAATTATGCTTTACTTAACCCTATAATCCTTTTTAGAGGATAATATAATTACTATAAACTATAATGAGAAGGCTAATAAGTATTATAATAGTAATAGTAACTCTAATAAGTCTTTTTGTAGTATTATTAATTAAGAACTAGATAATATTAACCTTACTTATAGATAGTGAATTTATAGAGAAAAAGGTATTAAGACTTCTTAAGATAATAAGACTACCTCTTTTAAACCTTATTAAAGTAACCTTAAACTTCTTAGTTACTATAAGTAGCTCTCTAATATCTATAGCTATAATAAAAAGGCGTATATTACTACTAATATTTAGGTATATAATAATATACCTAAGTACTCTCTTAATACCCTTATAGCTACTGCTATCTCTAGAGCGCTTCTATAGAGCTATAGTATTCTAAAAACTTATAATTAAGCTAAGGATAACCTTTACTAGCTATAGTAGAAAGAAGCTTATAAATAAGAAATCTAGTAGTTTATTATAAAAGAGGTCTATAAACTTATCTACCCTCTTTATAACGCTAAGGTCCTTCTTAGCTAATAGGTCTTTAATATTAAGACTACTATTAATAATATTATTACTTAGTTTAAGGCTTACTAGGTTATATATAGTAACTTTAAGTATAAAGATTAAGCTTCTTAAGAAGTTTATATAGTAGTTACTATAGCTATAGCTCTTTAATTATTCCTCACTATTACTGCTCTTTAAGGACTTAAATATTAGATATATAACTTTAACTCTGCCTTTTTTATAGTATTAGTTCTTAATAATATTAAGATCTATATTTATTAACCTACTAGCTTTAGTATTAATAATAATAAGGTTTAGCTTCTTAAGAAGGCACTTTATAGTTTATATAAAGCTTCTCTTTAGTAGTTTAATCTTATCTACATTAAGATAAATAAAATTAGCTTTATTCTTATTAATAATAAGCTCTATTTATTTATAAATAAGGATTAATATGCTTATACTTTAATATATATTAATAATAACGCTATTATTACGCCTAATAAGTAGTATATTAAGAGTATCTATAATAATCTTAAGAAGGTGTATACTTTTAAAGAGCTTAGTGAAGCTATATAGTTCCTTAGCTTTTAGATTAAATATAGTATTTTAATTAAGAAGATCTTTCTCTCTTAATATAAATATACTAAAGCTATCCTCTATTAATTTAGCTATTAGGATCTATAGCTTATAAAGACTCCCTTCCCCTCTTATAAAGAGCTTCCTATTTAATAGGATAAAAATAAGTATATTATTAAAGAGGCTGAAGAGTATATTAAGAAAACTAGCTATATTAACTAGCTTATTTAAGGTATTTATATTAATATTACTTACTATATTAGTAAGCTCTATTAAGCTAATAGAGGCTTATCTTAGATATATTTATACTTTACTAAGCACCTCTTCTATTACTTCTAAAGAACTATTTATTATAGTATTATTATTAATAAAATTAATCTAAATTAAACTTTAGCTCTTTATAATATAATAGATACTTTTTTTACTAATAACTAGCTATCTTATATTTTAACTAGAGGATATATTATCTTCTTTAGTAGTACCTTTATTACTTAGAAGACTAAGAAATAGATATTTATTACTCTTAGTATAATTAAGGTAGAGTTTATAAACTTAATACTTATTAGCTTTATTTTTAAATAGATTAAGAGATCTATTAAGTAGATATTTAATACTAAAATAAATGCTCTTATTCTTCTCTTTATAGATAGTGCTAATATATACTTTTATATTATAAATCTACTAAACTAAGCTTATACTTATTATATTAACGTTTAATATAAATAGATTATTAAGGAAGTACTTATAAATAGGACCTTTATACTTTACTTTATTAATAGCTCTAAGATAGTTACTAATAGCTTTATAAAGTCTCTTAAGGTATAGAAGTATTATAACTTTATTAGAATACTTAAATTAGTAGATAGATTAGAGGATAATATAGATTAATATTAGCTAGTTTTAGGATTAGTTTAATCTAAAGCTTTAAGCTAATTAGAAAATAGGGATTACTTAGTAGTTTAACTAGAGATTAACTAAGTTAATATAAACTTAAAAACTTCTTAGTTTTAAGCTTTTTAGCTTTTAATAAGATTTCTAGCTTTTACTTACTTTATATATATTAATAGTTACTACTAAGCTTTAGAGCTTAAGGGGTAGTGTAGTAGTATTTACCTATAGGTGCTATAGGTAGCTTATGTAGCCTAGGGGCCCTCTAGGCCCTTCTTCTAGCCTCTAGCCTAGCAGACGGCCTACTTAGCTAGATTCACACACATCATATTATTACTACTTGTTTGCGCCTGTGCCTCCATAGGATAAATCGGAATACCAGATTTGTTCTTATTCGACGTGACCAGGGTGGGTTAGATTGCTTCGTACACCAATACCTCTCTTTCCCCAGTTGATGCATGAATCGGCCGAACTTCGTTTTGAAGATCATCTGCTATATGCAATTCATGTGATGTACGAACTGACTACTCGGGAGAGAGGAGAAGTGTCCAACACGTGCGGCAACTGGCTATAATCCATAAATCCACACGCTCACTGCCGATGGAAACCTAACCCGATGTTTCCGGAGAGCGCAATGTGTTTCTTGATACTCAAGGCCATTGAACTTCACTGTCAACCAACAAAGATGGCACGAAATCACGCTTCTTTTCCAACTCCTTTTTCTGGCGTTCAGGCATGCTATGCCTTAACATTATGCAGCTTTTTGTTTCCCGTATTACAAGGCGGCTTCGCGCTGGTGCTTTGCGAAATGCTACCTCCACCAAGTCTAAACCACAGACTGCTTCACTTCATGTTCACTGTCACCTAGCTGTGCGCAATTCCATTGCCAACAACCGGAGTCCGATGATGATGAAATCTTGTCATAATAAGAGTGCGGCTTCTTAAAAAACTAGTTGGTTGATTATTCGGCTAGCCAGAAAGCAGTAAATTTCGTCCGAAGCTCGGGTAATATTCTAGACGCATGACGATTCGGATTGGCCTTCCCGAAGATAGCTTGCTTCGCCGCAACGCAGCCTCTGTACAAGGATACTCAAGTAAACAACAATGACTGACCTAAACCAGATTTCCTTTTCGAGAAGGTCGGGACGTTTGCATGCTGATATAACGATTCCAGCAAATTTGTTACTGCGACCGCGAATAATTTCTATTTCGTCAGGAGAACGCCCGCATTCACGGCTAACCATTGCCTCTCAGAGATTGCCTATGTTTCCTGTGCTAGAGTGACTACTTTTCCTGCGGTTGTGTACTCTATCTTACTGTCGTAGTTATCGTCGTTGCTGCTATCGTCGGCGTCGTCTTCGCTACCATCGTCGTTATCTTCGATAAGAGTAATTAAGTACAAAGGAAAATTAGGCGGTCTCGACCCTTATCTGTAGACCTCTGTCAGCACACTGCTGTGCCGTAAGGCAACATGGCACGCGTCACGGAACACGAAGTTCGGGAGCAAGGTCTCAGAAGTTCTTAATAAGAACTGCGTGACCTGCACTGGTCTTTTTTGATTTGGCAACTGTTCTGCACCAACACAGACTTGAACCTAGTAGAGATGTCCTGTCCGTCGCTGAGCGACCAGTCTTTCGGACCCCGCGTTCATCCAGAATGTCGTTCCTTCGACTTCACACTTCAGTTTGAGGATATCCTTTTTGCCTGCATTCCGTCCGCTGTGTTTATCCTCCTCGCACCAACGCGAGTCGTCCATTTGCTTCGCCAACCGACCGCCTTCGCAGTCCGTTCTTGGCTTCTGCTTGCCAAACTAGTATGTGTCTTCCACGTCTCGCGCTTGAGCGCCATTCCATCACCACCGTCACTTGCTTATTGTTTTCAAAGTTGGTCCTAGCCGCACTTCTGGCTTCGCATCTCGCCTTTCTAGCCCTGCGATCGCAAACCCCCAATTTCCAGACGTCTGCATCGGTTTCCGCCGATGTTTTGATTCTCATCGCCATCCTCACCATCGTTCCAATTTCTCTCCTTACTCATCAACGCTCGCCTCGACCATCAACTTTACTCAGCATATATCTTTCCGCCTCAACCATACTTGGTATTGCGCGTGTTCGAACAACATGGCTACTAGATCAACGAAGCCCTATTCCGGCCCTCTCAACTGCTGTTCTGGTGTTGACGATCGCGTTCCTCATTCTGGAGTCGATCGAATCGAAGAAAAGACAGTCAGAGCCCGAGATATCGTACAGCAAACTCCCAACTCCTGAACAGACCAGCGGCTTCTGGGCGCGGACTTGCTTTTGGTGGCTGGCGCATACCTTCTCACTTGGATACTCCAGAGTGCTTTCTCTCGTAGATTTGCCCAGCCTTGATATCGTTTTGGAAAGCCGCCATCTGCACCGCGATCTGTCTATAGCTTGGAACAACAGTAGGTGCTATTAAAATTTAGCTGTCATCTGAACCGAAAGCTTCTAGAAACTTGCTAAGCCATGAACCCAGATGACCAGCAAAGAAAGAACAGTCTACTGCGAGCGTGCATCAAGAGTTATTTCTTGTCCTTTCTTTCTCCAGTCATACCGCGACTATGTCTCTCAGTGTTCACGTTCGCCCAGCCATTTCTCATCAACACCACTGTGAGCTTCGTCGGCCAAGAGAAGCCTGATGCCAACTTCGGTAAAGGGCTCATCGGCGCATGGGCTCTGGTTTACCTTGGCATTGCTGTCAGCAACTCGATATTCCAGTATCACAATCTGCGCTTCACAACGAGATTGCGCGGAGGACTGGTTGCACTCATTTATCAGCAGGCAATCAACACTCGAGAGGCGGACACGGGCGACATAACTGCGGTTGCCCTCATGGGCACTGACGTAGAGCGCATTCACATGTCAATGTCTGTATTTCACTTGCTCTGGAGCTCATTGCTTGATATCATTATCGCAAGCTGGCTTCTGGGGCTCCAGCTCTCACTTGCGTGCCTTGCTCCAATCATACTGGTTCTTGGTGAGTGAACAGAAACTTTCGGTTTTCAGCCCAGCCATGCTGACCATTAGGGCTCAGTCTTCATTGCCGCGATGTCCAAGGTATCGGTGGCCACGAACACAGCTCAAAAGCACTGGATTGAAAAGATACAAGAGCGCCTTCGAGTGACCACGACAATGCTCAGTGAGATGAAAGCTGTGAAGATGCTAGGACTCACTCAAGTCATGTCGAACACGGTCCAGAATCACCGCACCGACGAGATCGAGACCTCGAAGTCTTTCAGGAAGCTGTTGGTAGCGACGTTATTGCTTTGTAAGATACAAACACCCTTTTTCAGTAGTTGTCGCTAACCCGAAAGCTTAGCCCTCAGCCCGATCAATCTCGCCCCTATCGTGACCTTCGGTATCTACGTCATCATCTCCGTCTACTGGAAAAACGATACCCTGTTGCCGGCGCAGGCATTCACGTCAATTGCTTTAATATCTTTGCTAACTACACCGGTCGTCGCCTTCATTCAGATCTTGCCCATGGTCGTTCAATCGTTATCCTGCTTCGATCGCATCCAAGATTTCTGTAATTACAGCTCTCCAAGAAAGACTAAAGATCAGCGTGTCAACCCATCTTCCTCAAACTCCCAGACAGCTTTGCCAGCGAGGAAAGGGCCTACAGAGCTACCACAGTCCAGCCGTCCCTCTCAAGAACCTATTTTGTCTTTCAGCGGCGAAAGCTTTGGTTGGAAGGAAGAGCAGAGTTTACTTCATGAAATCAACGTTCAAATCCAGCCCAATACTGTCACGACCATTGTGGGGCCTGTTGGAAGCGGCAAGTCAAACCTCCTCAGCGCCATGCTGGGGAACATGATCAGAACATCACCGATGACGAACAGATGTGGAGATGAAAGAGGCTGCAATGAAGAGATCGCATATTGCTCGCAAACTCCATGGCTAGAGAACGGAACAATTCGACAGAACATTCTCGGTGTCTCGGCCTACGAAGAGAAATGGTATGACACAGTTGCGCTCGCATGTGGGCTTGAACCAGACTTTCAAGCCTTGCGCATGGGTGACTTCACTATTGTTGGTAGTCAAGGCGGCAACCTCAGCGGCGGTCAGAAGCAGCGAATTGTGAGTGTTACTGACAGACAAGGACCTCATCTTCTGGTCTGCCACTGACCATGCGCTAACATCTGGCAACTAGGCTTTGGCAAGGGGAATCTATGCACGAAAGCGCATCGTTATTCTGGACGACATCTTCAGTGGGATGGATGCCCGCACTGCGCATCATGTCTCAACCTGTTTGATCGGACGTGACGGACTTCTACGGAGACAGCGCGCGTCCGTTATTATTGCAACTCACAGCCGTAGGTCGCTTTGTCCATGGAGTGCAGCATACTCTAACAGGCATCTAGACAGGATCATGGGCCTAGCCGATAGCATAATCTCGCTGGACGGTGGCAGAGTGCAAGAAATAGGCAGGCCCATGGACCTGGTGCAAGGTCAAGGCTACGTCAGCAAGCTCGGGCTCATGTTATCCCCTGACGAAGATGTTGCCAATGATTCCGCATCCTCTGTTGAGCCTGAGGCTTCTGAGAAGAACCAGGGAGAAAAATCTGAAATGGGGAATCATAGAGAACAGATACACACGGATGTCAGACGGAAGAACGGCGAGAAGGCAGTTTACCTTTACTACTTGAAAAGTGCAGGCTGGAAAGCTATTGTCATGTACACGGCAGCTGTCACATCATGGTCTTTCTTTTCGGAATTCTCCAGTAAGTCTCTTTGAAGCAACACAGCTAGACACGAGGCACACATAGCTGACTCATTGCACTTAGCCGTCTGGGTCAAATGGTGGTCCGAGTCAAATTCTTCTAATGCAAACCAGGACGTCGGATATTTCATGGGTATCTATGCCTTGTTCGGGGTTTTGGGAACACTTAGTTCCTCAATCGCCGCCTGGTTCGCATTCATCGACATCATATCTAATACAGCATTGAAATTGCATTCAGACCTTCTTCAGACTACTGTTTCGTAAGTCAGCCTTTTCGCGATCCCCATGACTATGTATGCAGCAACTAATTTCGCGGCTACAGCGCAACATTTGCTTTCTTCTCCAAGACAGACAATGGAGAAATATTGAACAGGTAAGGGTTCACTGGCTAGATCGGTCTTTGGCAGTACCTGACGTATTCGCAGATTTAGTGAGGATATGCAGCTGCTGGATATGGACTTGCCATCAAACTTGTTGAACTATACATCAAGTGAGTATCAGAGACGTCTTCCACAGAAGCTGTCAACTAAGAATAGTGTCTCGTAGCCGGCGTCACGATACTTGCTAAAGTCATCATCCTGGTCGTATTCTCTCAGTATCTCGGAGGTACCCTACCATTCCTCTGCGCCATACTCTACTTGCTGCAACGCTTCTATCTTCAGACATCGCGACAAGTCCGTCTCCTCGGTATTGAGGCAAAAGCACCTCTTTACACCCACTTTTCCGAGTCGGTAGCCGGAGTTGCCACAATTCGGGCCTTTGGGTGGCAAGAACAATACCAAGCACGCAATTACGAGCATGTTGACGAATCGCAGAGACCCAGCTACACCCAGGGCTGCATCCAGGCATGGCTCACTTTCGTCCTCAACCTAATCGTAGCCGTATTAGCAGTGATACTGGTGGTTATTGTCGTAACGTGGCACCACAAGTTTAGCGCTGGAAGCGTCGGTGTCAGCCTCGTTATGATCATTGGCTTCAGCGAGGTGTTGGCTCGTCTCATTCAAAGCTGGACAAAGCTGGAGTCCAGCATCGGTGCAGTTGCTAGAGTGAGACGATTCGTCTCGGACACTGAAACCGAGTCGGCGGCTGGAAGATGGACACCGCCAGTGAACTGGCCGCAAACCGGAGCTGTGACGTTTTCGGACGTTGTGGCGTCTTATGGGTAAGGACTACTTGTAACCTCTTGACTCGATTTGATGGAATGGTACAACTAACCCCTTAGTAGGTCTGACGCTTCACCTGTTCTCAAGAAACTATCGCTAGCTATCGGAGGCGGCCAGCATGTAGCGATTTGCGGCCGGTCTGGAAGTGGCAAAACCTCCTTGATCATGACTCTGCTGCAAATGACAGACATGAAAGAAGGCAGGATTGACATTGACGGGGTTAATGTCTCGAACCTGCTGCAATCCGAGCTTCGCGCATCCCTCAACGTCATTCCCCAGGATCCATTCTTGATGCCTGGGACTATTCGCTTCAACCTCAACCCTTACGGAAATAGTCTAGATGACGACAGATTCGTTGAAGCACTTAAAAGAGTTGGCGTTTGGTCACTCGTGCAAGATCAGGGTGGTTTGGATACAGAAATGAACGTCAACGCGTGGTCAGCTGGCCAGAAGCAACTTCTCTGCTTGGCCAGAGCCATGCTACGACAATCAAAAGTTTTGATATTGGATGAGGCAATGAGCAGGTAAGTGCTCTGACGATAAAAATGTTATCATACAGTTACTGACATTTCCTCAAGTGTGGACAGCGAGACAGAGGCAATCATGCAGAATATCGTTGATTCTGACTTCAGGGACTGCACAGTTCTTGCCGTAATGCACAGGCTCAAGCATGTCACCCACTACGACAAGGTTGCCCTGTTGGGAGATGGAAAACTTCTCGAGTTTGATACCCCGGAATCTCTTATCTCCGGAGAGACTCAGTTTGCTGAGATGTTCAAGATGAAAGCAAACTAACAAAGTCTCGGTAAACTTAGCTGTGTCTTTATGGCAGGACTCTCGTTTGTTGCACTGAATTGAACCATATACTTCGCGGAGTCTCAGCCTGTTGTGAACAAACCCTTCCCAGAATGAGGTAAAGGACTGAATTATTCCTACGTCGGCCAGTGATCCGGATCAAACCTTGGCCTCCCGTGGTTCGTAGTGCTCCTGCTCAACTACTGGTACGTCTTCTGTGAGGCGGCGTGTTTTTGTCTCCCTCCTGCTTAGATAAAGTATGAGGAGAATCATGAATAGTTGCGCAACGGTCGTGCCTAGACTACTGCGGAACCCAAGTATCCATCGCGGGGCACCTGTCGCTGGGAAAAGCGCGACTTGTGCTCCAGCCATGATACCCTGCCCTATTGCGTTCATGCTTGCCGTTACTACTGCGCGCTCCTCTGCATCGTTTGACATGATAGTGGTGGCCCAGCCCATCCCCATGGGAGACAATGCTGTGTACAAACGTTAGAGTCTCGCGGCGGAACGATGTTGAGGAAGAACCTACGAGCAATAAACCCTTGCAGCATGAAGGCGGCTAGCCTACCGCTCTCGCCCACGTCCCAAACGTTAAGTAGGATCATTCCAACGAACACGGGGATTGTTGTTACAAAGGCGGGAATCCAAAACTCGCCGAGTCGGTCTGCCGCTACTCCAGCAATGAGGGCAGCAACTATCATAATTGCAGACGTGATCGTCGGCAGGGTATTGACCTGAACAATGGAGTAGAGCTCTGGACTGTTCGCACGGAGGTAGAGGGAAAACGGCTGCCCTCCAGGAACGAAGTTCATGTCAAACAGGGTCCACAAGGTGACGAACGCATAGAAATGCCACCGGCCAAGCACCCTCTTGAAAATGCTTGCTGATAGCTGGAGCTGAGGTGGGGTACTTGAGCCTTCTACTCGCTTCTGTGCAATCTTGAAGTCGGCGTCCGTAAGAGTGAAGGGCTTCTTGCGAGATGGAACATCGGGGAAGATGACGAAACCACTGTGAGAGATCAGTACATGAGATAGCAGCCAAAGTCAGATGCTGCTCTTACAAGAATGCGATTCCGAGGGTAATAATGCCGTCGATAATAAAAAGCCACCTATGTTGGTCGTTAGCATGAGTATGTCATCTGCAGAAGAAACACTCTGGTTGCATACCTCCACCCTGACATCCCATGCACTCCGCTGAGGTTTGTATACGCAGCTGCCTGCAGATAGCCGGCAAACATCGTTCCCAATGGCGACGAAATGAAGAATAGGGCGATTCTTCGTGCCACTTCAGTTTTCTTGTACCACGAACCAATCACGTAGATTGTCCCAGTGAAGGAGCAGCATTCGAAGAGTCCAACGAAAAAGCGTAGAGCATATATGGCCTCGACGTTCTTGACAAACGCTAAACCCAGCGTCGCGAGTCCCCAACCAAGCTCAAGCGAAGGCAGTACGAGATTTGCGGGATATTTTGTGAGGAAATAACAAGCCGGAATCATAGCGCCACAATAAGATGCCCAGAAGGTCGCGGTGATGTAGTTCAGCTCATTGCCCCACATCCCAATTTCTTCCCTCATCCCACTGATGATCAAAAGTCAGAGAGTTTTCATACCGATGAAGCATGGGTATGAGCTTACCTCACGTAGGCATTAGTTATAGATTGCTGATCCAGATACTTGGTGAAGAACGATAGACAGCCAAATATGAGGATCGATAGGTCCAACTTCAATACCACTAGCTTTTCCTCGCTTGGCATGTCGGACGGGTACCATCCGATCAGACTCATAAAGCGAATCCATAGATTTTCCTTCAATGGTCTGGATATGTCAGAGTCACTGCCTGCAGAGCGTTCGGCGATAGACTCTGAGCCATTTGCCGCACGCTGTTCATCGTAAACCGCCATGGTCACTTTGCAGCTTCTTTGTGAGGATCGAAAGACGGCAGGATAAGTCCTACTCGACTAAGTACAAGATTTCGGGAATTTCTTATGTATCGCTGTATATGCCCATGTTGCAAGGCCCTGTGATCACGCAAACACGTCGCAGTATGACAGTAGCCGGAACCGCACCGGCATACGGACTATGCTACTCCACAGGTATTCCAATGGTGTGCAGCGAGCTTTCAAGTCAACCAATACCATGGCCCGACAACGATCGATGTCGGGCACGTTCCGACGACTCTCACTGAAAGATCGAATTCATCCATCCACTTCGCTGTCACTTGCAACCAAACATGACCCCGGCATACAAGCAAGACCTCAGAAGTCGCGTGGCAACAGGGATTGGACGCGACTAGGGCTATGATGCGAGATTTCCCATCATGACGTTAGGCTAGGCATATCCAGCTTGCAAAATCCCACCGATTGAGAGCAGGATAACAGAACTGGAATGTTTGAGTGAAAGATGGGAAATATATTTTCCATGCAAATGTTTGCGTGTGGAAACATTCAGAATAACTGTGTTGAATTTGTTCACAATTTTGACCCGGTGCCGAAGCTCTCAGAAAATGATGTCGCCCATCAGATTTGGTGCCATTTCGCAATGACGATATGTAATCACGTCATTTAAGAAGGAATGCCTCAGTCAGCCATCGGTCTCCTTGCTGTCAGATGACAATCTACCTTAGGTAGTAGAAGTTAGCTGTCTTGCCCCAAGGCAATAGTTAACTTATCTCAGGACATCAGCCCGTTCTTAGAAAGCCATCTGCGTCAACACGGTGATGTAGGGGAAATCTCAATGGTAGCTATGACAACGACAGTGATAACTACTAATACTTCTACTACTACTACGACGACGATGACGACGACGACGATCAAAGCGATAATGGTAAAGTAGTTGCTATATTATAAGGAAAATAGGCGTCATCATCTTTATATGCTACACGTTTCAATCTTTTGTAAAGATTAACATACTCCATATGGCTAGAAAATAAGACCCAGATAGCAAAGCTTGAAGCCTGAGCCTGCTGCAACGCCGTTGGCCACAAAGACGATGCTTGATCTTTTGTGGGATCCCACGAATCTTAGTTCGAGACTATTCGAGAAGGTCCAAGGTTTTGCCTTGCTTCGCAGACTCCACAGCCGTGTCGATGATGCGCTGGGCGGTGAAACAGAGCACGGGATCTAGCGGCCCGGTGACCGGCATGCCGTTCTTCTTGCAGTGGAGAACATACTCAATCGGATTGCGGTATGGACTTTGCAAGACTTCAGCAGGGATGTTGGTGACCTCGCGCCGGTCCTTGGTCTGGACGCCCACGTGCGAATCATAGTCATAGCTCGAAATCGTGCCCTCGGTACCGACCACCACGAACCCGCACCTGGGCTGTGGCTGGATGGTCCAAGGGTCTGTGAAGGTGCCCCAGCGGGTCTCAAACTTCGACAGCCCTGTGGTGTACTGGCAGATGGTGATAGAGTGCTCGTCTACCTCGATACCCTCGCCAGCGGACGTCACGGTGGTCACCTTCAGGGGCGCGCGTCCGTCCATGAACCACGTCCCCAGGGTCGCCCCGTACCCGATATAGTCCAGTAGCGATCCGCCTCCGGACTCCTTCTTGTACCACCAGGAGTCCGACTTCTTCCGCTGCACCTCATCATCAGAGACCTCAACCTTGTCGGCGAGGTGGTAGAGTGGACCGCGGTTCCCGCCGTAGTAGTGTACTTGGGTGACCTGTCCAATCGTCCCCTCGTCAATCAGCCGTTTCGTCGTGACGTGGGCCGGGAACCATCTTGAAGGCCAGTTGATCGCAAGTCGCGTTCCGGCAGCGTCTCTGGCATTCAGCATCCGCCTCGCGTCTCGAATGTTAGCTGCGAATGGTTTCTCCATTAAGACATCCACTCCAAAGCTGCAGCACTCCTCGTAGGCAATGGCGTGATCCGCGGTCGCCGGGCAGAGGATGACGAGGTCGGGCTCGGTCTGGCGAATACACTCCCCCGCGTCAGTGAAGACTAGCTCCGGCGCGATAGTAAAAGCCGCGACCGCATCCTTCGTCCGATCTACCTGGCGGTCGCAAACGCCTACGATGTCGACATCGGGATGGTCAAATGCGTTGCGCAAAAGATCGCCCATGTGCATGTGGTCGAAGTTAATGCCAACTACTCTCCAGCGCGCCATCGTGAAAGCTTTGAATCTAGCTTTTCTGAGGCATTCTATGCGGTAAGCAGAAACTAGAGCAAATAAGACAGAGCTGCTGAACAGGATGTGTCTCAGCTGACGTGTACAGTGCGTAAATCAGCCTCTTGGAATTAGCACAGTGAAATGATTTATACCTCGATAGCTCAGAAGTAATGGCAAGCATAAGCACAAAGATGACGACGCTGCATCTAGCAAATCTCCTGGTGATCTTGTCAGCTTTGATGAAAAGGATGACTCCCGGGAACCTTTCGTTAGTAGAATATTTACAGCATACGATAGCTGTCACGCCAAATAAAGACGCAATAAGTGATCTAAATGTGAGAATTATGTGGTTACCAAAACGTATACAAATGCTCCTGACATCTTATTTTGGGGGGTCTCGGGAGGATAAGTTGAGCCAGCTGTTTGGCCTGGCATTTGATAGCCAAAATCCGGCATCCTGGCCAAGAGCGGAAAACGCTATCAACCCTACGAGTGAACTTCTACCGGCTCGACTTCAGTTTTCACCTTGCCGATGGTACCTGATACAAAATGATTAAAATTAAGCCTGGCTCTGACGGAATGTGGCTCTTTCGGCCAGCCATCAGGTCGATAGAAGCCAACCGAGATTGACATCGACATTAATTTGGTATGGCCCATAGCGATGGCGCAGACCTATCTCAATAGCAGATAGAGCTCGATTTAGTCCGAGCAACGTCTATGGCAAAACTTGATGGCACCATATGTGACGGTGTGAGATCGTTGTGTGGCTTCAGCGACGTATTAGAGTCTCAGTGTTTACAAGCTTTTAGTCTATCGCCGAAGTTTACCCCATCTCAAAGCTTTCTTGGCATACATCCAGACGGGACTTCATATTCCCGTGCAAACCCCAATG